CCGTTGGTTTCCAGAACCAGCTTCCTCTAGGAAATCCCAGGAGAATTCCACTTACCCCTCTAGGGGCAAGGGCTGGCTTTTTCCCGCTCGCTGCTTACCCTCAGGGGATTAGCAGAAGTCACGTCGGTTGCTTTCTGACCTCGGGGGTCGGCTGCACTTCACGTCGGGATTACCGGACCTCAGGGGTCGGTTCAACATCACGTCGGGGTCACCAGATGTCGTTCTGATTGGGAATGGCGATAAAGAACGACACTGGACTCTCAAGGGAGTCTCAACAGGAGAATTCCTCTAGTTTATTGCTTCAGACTTGTCTTATAGACAGATACGTGGAAAGTACAGAAAAGAAACTCTTATTGGTTAGCAAAGTGCTACATCACCATCATTGGTCAGGGGCACTCTACCCCCCTGACCCTCTCCTGCAAGAGGAAACAAGAGGACAGATAAACAGCACCTGGCAGTTGTTTTCTGTCTCTGAGGATTGTTTTGAAATCCTCCTTTGAATTCCCAGGCTAGCTTCTCAGGCAGGACTGAGAGGCCATGGGCCTGCATTTTCTGCAGCTCCCTGCAGCCTGTTCCAAAGCTAGCATCCATACCCCACAACTAATGGGGAAAATTCTATAGGTGAGGAGGAACAAAAGGAAGGACACCTAACCCTTTTTACTCATGTACCAACTTAGTTTTACTCCATTCTGCATCTCTTTCTCTGCACAGTAAGTGCTTACTAGTGCTGTTCAAATGCACCTGCTATGTGTACTCTGGTTTCAAACTTAGTGCTTCTTTGAACAGCAAGAAGAGGCAATTAAACACCCTAGTATTTAACTTTTTTCCTACATAGGAGGCTCTGAATGAGTGGAATCACGTCACTTTACAGACTTGAGGAAGGGGAAACAGTAAGTTGCCCTGGCTTAGGGGTGTCCTCAGGGCAAATACTGCTTGGCAGCAGTTAACATAGTTCAGGAAGGGAGGTGGGCAATACAGAGGGACATTCTAAAAGACAATTTAAACATACAGAATTTAGAATAGTCTACAGTAGTAAATAATAGCAATATTAATGTATTCATAGAAATAGAAGCAGTATATAAAATTTTACTACTTTGGATAATTAGAGAAAATGGGTTTGAATCTTTTTCCCATCAATATGTTTTGAATACAGCTAACAGTAAGTTATGGAAAGCTGTGGAAACCAGAAGCCAAAAACATAGTGTTATAAATGAGTAACCAATTAGATTAATAAAAAGAATTTATTAAAAAAAATACAGTCGTAAAAAGCCAGAAGTGAAAATTAGTTTAACGCTGTACGAGGTGAACAGTTTTGGGTGAGACAGGGAGAAGCTTGATAGCACCGCTTCACCATGCTTCACAAACTGCAGCTGTCCTAGGGTGCTTTTTATATGTTTTCAGGTTTTTTGGGGGTCTCTTGGAATACTCTTCTTGCAGACAAATATTCATGCTGTTTTGGGTGTATATGTTGTAATCTTGTTGGGTTTCTTGGAAATACGCTTCTTGCAGATGAATATTCATGAGTTATAATCTTATTGGACGGAGGTTTTTGTAAATATGCTCCCTGCAGACACATATGCATGTTGGCCATGCTGCATATCGCTATAATCTCATCAGAGAAGGTTTCCTGGAAATATGCTAGGATTCTTATCAGACAAGATTATAACTTTAGTGCAAACTTATTTATGCTGTGTATTACAATAGCTACTACGTTAACAAGAAATATTGTATTAATATATGATAAGGTTCGAGTTATCTTGCTTTGTCGTATGTTTGAATTTGAAAACTTGAAGATTCTCAAAATTCTTCTAATTTCTTCAGTAGCTTTTAGTATTTTTGCATTTATGATTATCATCTCTTGGGATTGCATTATCCCTGGGCAGTGGCTGCTTTTGTTTGAAAGAGAAGTTGCAAATGTCAGAAACCATACACTTGAAAAAATAGGATTAGAAGCTGTTGTGTTATCTGTTAAGTGGATATAGAGTAGAAAGAGATTTCTGTTCTTCCATTTTAATATCTTGTTTGTGCTGAGCAAAAAGAGCTCCACAGCCTTTTGGGTTATGTTAGAAGCTAGACACATGTGGCTTTTCACTGTGCACTGAAGTGTTTTATGTAGCACAGTTAAATAACCTTGTAAATTTTACTTTTTTAGCAATGAAGATGCAGATGTATTCTGAATCATATGAAGTTACGAGCCTAGCTTTGCGAATAGCCTACCTGGACTGGTGTTCTGTTGTTATAACTTCCCTTTTCTTTCTCACGCACAGAATTTTTATCAAAGCTATGAGAAATATACTATTCAAATATATACTATTTCAAACAATACAAAGATACCTGAATTAGCAGTCAGGTATACCAAAATATTCCACACAGTGACTTCCACATAGAACTACACAGTCAAGCCCACAATACTGAATTATGCATGACATTTTTAATGGTGGAACAAAAGGAGTAGCAGAAGGAAATTCTGCAAAGTATGTGCTGCCTTCAATGGTTATTAGGCGCTAGTGTACATGCATGCAAGTCCCAAGATACTCTTTATTGAAACTCTGGTGCTGTGCTATACAAATCAAAGCTGTATGAAAGCCATACGTAATGAGGGAAGAATAAATAACAGGAAAACTCTGACAAAGGGAAGTGCAGAATGCATACCAACTCACTGTTAGAGAGTGAGAAATAAAGTTCCTACATTTGGCTGGATGCTGAAAGTATCAGCTAGTGTAAATATTTACTTTATAGTAAGTGAAAGGATTAGTCTTATTTGTTAGACCGCAATGATGATGCCTCTCACTGTCTAGTCAGTGAAAACTGGGAGAATGTAACTAAAATTATTTACAGAAGGGCTGCTGCATTTTAAGAGGCAGCTGTGCCTAAATTAATTTCATTGAAATTCTGTACCCTGTTGAATTTATTACTTTCACACATTATATATTGAAACCAAATACTTTGTGTCTGAAAGTAGAGACTGACTTAACAGACCTGCTCTGTAGGTTTTTGAATATGCAGAAGGTTTCACTAGAAAACTTGGTACAGATTCTGTTTCAGTATTGATTTTCTTCCCGAACCCTACATTAAGCATTTTTTGAGCCTTTTGCAATCATAATACTAACATAGATCAGGATAACTTTTTATAGGCCAGAGTATAAAAAAATTGAAAAAATTATGTTGTAAAAAATTATTTCTGCTTATTTGACAATTTCTGGTTGTTGAGAAGAGGTTGTTGCTTGCCAGTGCTGTCAGGCTTGAAGCCAACACCACTTTGGTGATACCAGGATGATTGTTCTATCCATCTAGGATTCTGTATTTTCGGCTGAGGAAAGGACCCACCCCAGGGTGGGTGCAGTCCTTCTCACTGCAAAAGCAAGCTTGTCTCTTCTCATGCAGAGTTAACCCTGCAGAGAGGTCCCCATTGCTCCTCTCCCCTTACCTGTGCAGTTCAGCCATTTCTCACCAGCTTCTCTCCTTACCAGCCTGGAGAATCCAGCAGTCCCTTGCAACATGTCTGTAACATCTGCCAGCTGCTTATGCTGTTACCTGTCACAAATAGCAATTTCTGATATCAGGTTCAGTAGTTTCCTATGTCCTCATACTTTGCTTAACCTCAGGCCAGGCCCTGATGAGTGCCCTCAGTGTTGGCCTGCAGACCAAGAACTGGCTTCTTGGCCATTTTAACCACCCATTAAAAGATTACTCATTGCACAGATATGAAATGGTGTGTGTTGCTGGAGGGACTTCTTAGGAGAACAAAAAACTCAACAAGTTTATTGGTCCTTCTTTGGAAAATTGAGAGTGTAAAACTGCTCCCAGGTGGACATGATTGAAATCAAATGCATCAAAGTTCATCACATTTTTTCCCCTCAAATGCAGAAATTTTTTTAAGTGTTACAATACTAGGAGTATTTCAGGGTAGTCAAAGTTGCCTGAGACATTAAACTTTTTGAAAAAGAGGAATGAAGGAAAGCTTCAAGGGGGAGCATCCCAGAGAGAAGTAAAAGGAAACAGTTTATTAGCAGTCCAGGCTTGAAAATACCTGAAAAGGTAAAAACATTGCCACAGTCACAGTGCTGCTTTCCAGATAAGCAAAGAAAAAAAGGGGGAAAAGAAAAGGGAAAAAGTATTTTTAGTATTTTTCAGTGCTTATGTTAACCATTATCCTGTTATACTAAGCTCTGCTTAATTGCCAGTAAGTATATCACCAGCAGGTGATTGGTTATTGGTATTTTGATAGCCAAACTCTAGTAGATCTAACTCAATTTCAGGTTCTCTAGCATCTCCCCATATATAATATCCAATTTTCAAAGCTATGATGTGCTATTGCCATTGGTAATGCTACTGTCAATTTGTCTTAGCTTCCCTGCATGGAGGTTATTTTTATTTATTTATTTTTACTGTAAGTCACTGTGTACACTCAATTGGTTGCTATTTTAACAAGATCTCTGGAGAATTCCTCAATGATGATGCATGTTTAAAAAATAGGCAGAAAGCAATTTACTACCTAGCAGATACCAGATGAGCGGGCAAGAGTCTGGAGACAAAAAACCATAAATATGGAATGAGCTTGTTAGTATATGCTTGTGCCATACTTACAACACGAAATGAGAACAAGATAAGAGGCAAAGTCATTATCTCACTGGAGTCAGTAGCAAGGCTTGATATCAGAGAAGTGATCACTTGTGTTACTTGTGGGTCACAAGTACGCTTAAATACATTTGTAGCATTGCAGTTATGGTGTATATTTTCCTAAAAATGCCTCTTGAAATATTTATAAAGTATATTTAAGAAGTGTAACTTTGTCCCAACTTTTCATCTGTTCTTTTTCCACGAGACATTCAGATTCATCTGGGAAAGAAGTACTGAGAGTAGAACTACTTCTATATGTGCTCTCCAAAGAAAAGTGCTTCTCCGTGTTTTATGTTCCTGAGTATAATCTTGATGTGGTTGTAAATGTTAAATATAGGTGGTGTTTTGAGACATACTATCTTCTCTGTTTCCAGGTGGGCCATGCACAGGTACAGCTCATGCCTCGTTAACCACACCAACCAAAAGATCTTGTGACTCAGGTATGTGTTTTGCGGAATCAGGGAATTAGATTTCACATTATATTTAGCAGTTATAGTTCAATAGTTGAACAGTAAAGGGTAATAACCATACCTGGTAAATGCCAAATGAAAATAAATATTGTTGCTTTGCTGACAGAAAGGTACGTATAAAAGGATTAGTATGGCAGGATCTGAGAATCCTGTTAAACATAACTCTGTAAATACATTCTGTTTTCAGTTAGTCTTGTAAAAACAAGACATACAGAAGTAATCAGTTTAATGATTGTGACAGTGTCCTGGAAATCCTGCCCTTGAAATGCAAAGTATTAAGTAGAAAACTGTTCCGATTACATTGACTTTCCCTGATTGAAGATGCAGTATAGGTGGCTGATCCTTGCAGGGACTAAATTTTACCTGCTTTGGGTCATTTTGATGCCTTTATTTCTATATGCAGGATGTACATAGATACATAGATAATACATAGCGCCTCACAGCGCTGGTATTAGTAGTGCCATGTTAGGTTATTGCCAGGCTGAAGTGACTTCTTCTGCATCAGATCTGTCCTGAAGAACCACACATGCACTCATTCAGTCAGGCAGCAGAGTTACCTGCATTGGCTCAGGTCTTCTCCAGGCTTTGGTTTTGTGTGGATTAAGGAGAACTCACATGATTCTTTCCACCAGGACCATTGTTGAAAGCCATAATTTCCTGTGGAGTGGTGTGTAGGTAGTTGTAAGAAATGTTCTTGTAGTCTGAGTTTCCAAAATATCTTTTGCCTATATTTGCATTTATGTGCAGAAAGGAAAGGCATTCCAGTTTGAGTAAAGGCCCCTGCTTTTTAAGGAGTTCAAAGGAAATTTCCTCTGAAAAAGTGTTTCAAGTTCCTGTTTGTTGAGTTGAACTGTAGTTTTTCTATAAATGAGTGTTGTTAGCTTGCAGCAGATGTGTGGTGATACAAGTTGGCTTGTTCTGCAGTGAAAGAAGGTTACAGAGAAGCTGCATTACCTTGATCTTGGTGCAGGTGCAGACTTCTCAAGTAACACATGATAATCTGTGACAGTGAGTGTTGTTTGCCAAGGAACTGCATTTGAAATTGGAAGATAGTTCTTCAAAACAGGACGACTGGATTTTCTTTTCTGTGTAGCCATGGAGGTATATCTAAACAAGATGGAATGTTTGCCACAATATCCCTTGCAAACTAATTTGCTTTGCTCATGGTATTACTAAATTTTATTTTCTTTATATGTTAGGTGTTGTAATGTTTAGCTGGTTTTCATGGCAGAGTAATTTAAAAGCTTGCTATGGTGCTACAGATACAGTAAACTGAGAATACTGTTGGAAATTCTTTGTGTATGTGCTTAGCAAAAAGAAATGTAAGTTCATTATTTGGAGCATCAAATGGCACCAGTAAAATCTCCTTGGAGTAAAGCAGATGAAACCATGAGACATGTTGAAAAATCTCTTGGCTAACTTTGCTCAGTCGTTCTCTTATTTTCAGTTTGTGCTCTGTTGGTCTGTTGTATGTTTTTCATTTAGTGTGTTTTGCAAAAAAATGAGGATAACCTTTATTTGATGCCACATCTTTAATCTTCAGTCAGCTAAGTCTGCTGACTTAGCACTGTAATTACCTCAATTTCCCCTGAGGTTCTTACATTATTCCCTCAGTAATCTACATGTTATCTTTATAGTCCCTTACATGAATAAACCTGGTATCAGGAGTTAGTTTTCTTCTCGAGATCTTGAATTTTCAGCAGACTTTCATTTTTAAAATAAATTGCCATGTTGTCATGGGAATTGAAAACAAAATACTGGCTACAAAATATTACACAGAAGTGCTGTGACATCTTGAAGGAATGAGCAGTATACCATGTAGGTGAACATTTGTCAGGATTTAACCACAAGGCCAAAACATAGTCTCAGTATCTACTGTTAAGAAAATTAACTCTACCCCAGCCAAAACCAGCATGTTCTCTCGCACTAGAATCACTTGAGCCTCCTAGGAAGGTATTTAAATAATGCAAGCAGTATTTGTCAACACTACACATTGTTTATAAGCCTATTTTCTGTAAGTATCCTATCAAAGCTATTGAAAGAGCTTTGAAGAAAAAATGTTGGGTTGTATTTTATCTGTGTAATTCTGTTCATCCTTCAAGCTTAATTTTTCCCCGTAGTTCCCTAAATCAGCATTTGAGACAGAAAATTAGAATTTTATCTACTTATCTTATACGTAACTTTCCATCAGAATATTGAGGAAGGAGACAAACCTGTCATATTTTATCAACATGCGTGTAACAATTGAAGAAAGATCAAAACAATAAATCCGCCAAGGTACAAAATAAGTTCTTGCAGAGAAAAAAGAGGTTTTACCTCATGCATTTGTCAACCTGCATGCTGTAGGACCTGTTCTGATAAAAAATAGTATTAGGATACCAAATAGTGGGGTTTTTCCTCCTGTTCACCAGAATCATCACTGTGGTAAAAGTATTTCTATTCCAGTGTAGCCACAGGACAAGGATTATAGTGAAAAGAATGCATAAAGCCCTGCAATCATTAGTTTGGATGATGCCTCAAAGGCTTCTGAGTGCTGGCAGTCTGTGGATTTTGTAGGAAGAAAGATAGGACTGTGTGGCCTGGTGTGTAGCTTCTTGTATATTTTGATTTGTTTCTTAATGTTTGAGTAATGTAAGGATTGATGGCAGGTACTGGGAGGCTTGCTGTAGTCTGCAGGGCATCTACTTACCATTAATATCAGGTGCCTGTGTTGGGAAAGTGCAGTACCAAGTAGCATATTACTCTTGTTTTTCTGCTGTACAGCTTCAATGATGATTTACTACACAACTCTAAACATACAAATTTCATAACATTTTCATGCAGCTTAAAGAAACCTGGGAAAAAAATGATGGAACTGGGAGTTAATTTTTAATTGTTCAGTAGAGAAGGTGGTAGAAACAGGCAGATAAAATGTAGTAATGATACAATCAATTCATACCTTACATCCATAAAGTTGGTGAGGTTTTAAGTACTTTATTTCTCAGTAGCAATTCATGACAAATATGCATCTGTAATATTTTGTATAATTATATGTGTAGATAGCTCACATTTTATGAGAATATCTGTTAGAGGTTGGTGTGGTGATGCTTATATTGTACAAGACAAGAATCTTCTATGTGTGTTTTCTAGTTTAAAATTTGAGTCTAGAAGATGGAAATAATTATTTCACTGCTTGAGTAAAGTAGTTAAACAGCACTGTGGTCCTTTTTGAATTTATAGATATTTTTTTACTAAGATATGTGTACTAAGATATGTGCACTAAGATATGTGCTTGCTTGTAACAGTGCCAGGAATCAGAATACTTTGAGGTTGAACCTGCACAATTCAGAAGACAGCCTTTAAGGAGTTACAGGAAGGTCAAGTTGTGGAAATAGAAGTACACAGATTTTGAACCTGAGCCAAAACTGTGAAATCATTACATTGATAGATAATTTTTTTAATCAATACTTATGTGTTAAGTAAGGACAAAAGGACCTCATACACCACTAATTAGATTTTCTTTTTTTAATTCCTCTTAAGTGTTAAGCTCCTGAGCAAAAAAAAAGCGCAAAAGATTCCTGAAGAGGGCTTTATATTATCTAAACCAACTTTGAGATCTGTTTTTCATTACTGTTTTGAGGGACTATTAAGATGTTCTTTAGTGTTTGACTTCAGGAGGGCATTGTGTTGAAATCCAGACTTCTTGGAGCTCTCTCACCAACAGGAAAGTGATAAAGTGATGATAGAACATCCTTTGAGCAGCAGAGTAAATCAGCCAGCCCAAGAAATAATAGTGGTCATTAGGGATGCACTTCCCCCTCCCTCTGCTCAGTTTCCAGCTATACTAATAGAGCAGCACATCAAGCAAGGCTGTAAATAAAAGTTACAACTTAATAGGTGGGTGCTGAAGTGGAACAGATGGGAGCTGAGACACGGAGGCCTTACTGCTGCTCATCAGCAATTACAAACAGAATGAAGTGCCTGGAACTGGCACTGATGTGGCAGGAGCTGATAGAGGCTGTGAGATGATGCTGTACCATGATCAGATGATGTATGTCGATGGCTTTTTACCGCCTCAGTTTATTGCCTATTTCTGTGACATGCTGGATTATCTGTTCCATGCTCCCATATCTATCTGGATGGACAGATTGGTTTCCTCTCCTCCTCATTGTCTAAGAGCCTTCTCAAAGTGTTATGATTATTGTGGATTAAAATTTTCCTAATGGTAAGGATCATAGTAATCATAGCAGTAAATATTGAGGACTTGCTCTAATTGTATTATTTATTTCCACTATTACTTTTCTCAGCTTTACAAAGCCACTCTTGTTAATTAAAAATAGTGTATATGGTTGTCTCGGTTCACCTGAATTTTCTTTTACACTGAAGGCATCCCATGATTTTAGATCAATTGAATTAGTTGAAGAATCCAAAGTGATGGGTTTGGGGTCAGTATATCAAAAAGTTTGTTAAAAGTCAGCTATAGCTGTGATGATCTTTGCCTCGGAGTTTAAAATCTTCAGCTATTCCTGGGAAGGTTTGTAAGAGCTTATTAGCACACAATAATTGGTAAATTTTTTTTGTAAAAAAGCCTTTCTTGATTTTTCAGTCTAGCACATTTCTATGCTAGACATTTAAATCATCACTTCACTAAACTATAGTGAAAAAAAATGCCTTGAATTTTAGTCCATATTTGCTTTGATCTAAAGTTTTGCAAGTATCTTCATAGTCCGTACATAAATCACTCATGCTGTTTACTTTTGAAGAGAATTTGCTTCTAAGTAGTGGAAAAAACACAGCATTAAGAAATGAAGAGGCGTGCAGCAGCATGACAGCATATGAAAACAGTGGCTCCTGTCCCTGTCTATTCAGTACAGGTAGGATAAAATAAATAGTTACTTTTCTATCATCTTATGGTATTAGAACAAGAATACTTTTATCTGCCTGTGTTAAAGTACACTAAACTAAGATGAATGGAAACCTTTTACAGTATTACTTTGAAATTAACTTTCTCACTTAGTGGCTTCTAAGCGTACGTTCTCTTTGCATTGATCATCAAGTGAGAAAGTTAGATAGTTGATGTGGCCAAAGGGATAAAAAATGTATCATGGCTGCGAAAGCCCTCTTTCATATGCTGTATAGATAAATTACAAATACTTAAGAGACATGCCAGTAATTTTTATTTGGGATAAACTCCTTTTTGTTACCAGTCTGTTGAAATCATTCTTGAAAAGACTGTTGGCTTTAAGAAATAAAATTGCTGTTCTGGAATAAGAGAAATAGATTAACATAGTAACTTACATGCTTATTAATGTTTCCCATTTTATAAGATTATATTTCTCAAAATGACACTAACTCAGATCAATTCTCTTAAGAGCATGTAAGGTAGTTGAATGTGATCTCCAAGAAACTCCTGGATATAAGAATAGTTTAATAATCAAAATAATAATAAACTGTGAAAAAAGTAAAATAGCAGAAAAGAGAGAGAAATAACCAACTTTTGCCAGCCAGTTTCTGAGCAGCAGCCCCTGGTCAGTTTTCCCCCCAGTTTATATGCTGATCATGACACCATAAGGTACAGAACATCCTTTGGACAGTGGGGTTAGCTGTCCTGGCTGTGTCCCCTCACATCTTCTTATGCCCTCCAGTCCCTCTCACTGGTACTGTGAGGTGAGAAGTTGGAAAGCCCTTTACTCTCTGTAAACACTGCTTAGCAACAACTAAAATATCACTGTGTTATCAATAATTATTCTCATCCCAAATCCAAAGCACAGCACTGTACCAGCTACTAGGAAGAAAATTGAAGTGGAAACCAGAACACTACCTCATGCAGAAAGTGGGATTTGGTGTATGCTGGTATGAGTGGCAGAAATGTGCAATAATTCAGATAGATTTTGGTTATTCAGAGATTCATAGGTTGTAAGAATCAACCGGTTTTTACCTTGTGGGGAGGAAAAAATCCCAACCCAGTAAAATACAAGTAAAAAGCAATAATCAAAATCTCTCTGTAGATGAGGAGTAAGGACCTCCTGGCCTATGTGACATCACAGCAAGTGGTGACAAACACACCTACCTCTGTGTTCCTCACAGTACTCCCAGCTGAAGTCAGTTCAAGTTCGGCATCCTAACAGAAAATGTCCTCCAAGTACTTTAAACTGTTATTCCCACTATCTTTATTTATCATCTCAAATCACTCAATTTTGTCTTCTTTTATCCTTTGTGCAGTTTAGATAAGCCCTTGAAACTTTTTCATTCTTCACCAAATAAGCCCTTTTTAAGACTTTCTGGGTTTGTGTAAGTCCATTCCTCAGCTTTTACTTACCTTTATCTCTTTTTGCTGCTTTTGTTTCAAATTTTTCATCTGTTTTTGTTTCCATATTCTGAATCCCATAAAAAAAGAACAACTTGGAAGAAAATGTACTTTGGTCAATAGGACAGGATGATTGATCTCTTGAGAGGAGTTCACATTGAATTGTCAGCCAATAAGAAAATTATTTTGAATGTCAAACTAAAGGTACCAGATTATAGGAATAAACACTATCTGGATTAACTATATTAGGAACCGTACAGCTGGCTGATTAAGGACAGAGATTTTTCCCCTCTAGTTGGCACTGGAACAGGTACCGACAGAGGCTGTGAAGTCTTAGTTTTTGAAAATTTTTGAAAATGGACCAGGCCATGAGCAACCTGATCCAATTTCTTAGATGTTACACTCTGTATCAAGCAGGAGGCTGGACTGCATGACCTCCAGAAATCCCATCCACCCTAATTTTTTCAGTGAGACTAACAGAAAACAAATACAATATGAATGTTCAGAGATACTTAGTCTAACCTCAGGAGCATTCATAGCACTTAATGAGAACTGAGGTCTGGAAGTACAGGCAAGCATTTAGTGCCTCAAGCACTGTGGAGAAGAGCCAGGAGAGAGATTCTTGGAAAGGTGGGAGAGTTGAGATAGTCAATGCAAAGAGCTGGGAGAGCAGTCCATGCAGCAGCGTTAATGTGTGATGAGCGTGATAAAGTACCTGTGCTTTCGTAAATGAGACTCTCCTGTCCGGAAAAAATGTGTGCTGCTGCCTTCATTTTCTCACCACATTTTCTCTATGGGCTGGTTTTTAGTCTGGTAGGTGAAATTGTTGTCAAATACAAAACTATGCAATTGAAAGGCCATTGTCTTTTAAAATTCAGGTATTACCACCTCTTTTTACCAAAGTCTTAGAGAATTACGATGAAGGATTTGTCTTCAGTTTGTTGAAATTGAAGAGCAAATATTTTGTCCTTTATATATATTTTGGTTAAAATGAAACAGCTTTACCTTGATTATTTTTTAGTGATTTCATGCCATGTTTAGTTTTCAGAACTCTCAAGATCTCTATGGTCAGTTAAGTGATCTCTGACAGTCAGTATATACTATGAAAGAATATACATCTATTACCCTTAGTTAACATTGTTCTCCCAAAAGCTCTGAACTCCTTGTTTTATAAGCAGAGACTGCTGGAAAAATTTCATCTCATAACTTTAAACAAAGCATATATCCATTAATTTCAAGGGTTAAGAAATCAGGGTTGTACATCTTGCATTTCTCACCTACACTACTGGAAGAGGATTTGGGGAGCCTTGGGTTTGCTTTAATTTTGACAATATGAAGAATATCACAAAGAATAGTTGAGATCATTAACTTTAAAGACCCAGCTCCTATCAGGCTGAAGAACTGAATTGATTTTACCTCAGCAGTCAGCACCGTGATCTAATCTGTTCAGATCAGACAGCTTCCTTACAGGTATGCTTTAGAAAATGAGACACATAATTTTAAATTTGTAAACTTATCATTTATAATTTTAAAATTGTTACTTTACTGCACTGGAGATTTTTTTAATTAAATTAAGCATTAAATAACTGTCTTGAAATATATTTGAAATAAATACCCACTTCCATTTAAAATTAATTTATTTTTTTTTTTTACTATTTAAGAACACTTGTAACCCAGGGAGCAAATCCACAACCAGATTCCTGCTGTACTTTTTTGATGTGAGTGCCCCAAAAGGTTTCATCCAACTATTGATGAAGTTCTCTATTCTAATTATTCCAGTGACCATCAGACAACTTTCAAGAACAAGTTTTCAATATTTTCATTTAGATGACAGTTTTCATAAGGACTTCAGAAATATATGAAAGTAATTTAAAAGCCTTTTGGAAGTATTCTTTAGTTTGTTGAACATACACAGTGAAAGTGTATCTTCTTAGAAAGTGAGGAAATTATTTGTGTGACAGTTCCGTGAACATACAAGTGATGTCTTTTTCCTGGTTTTGTTCCAAATTATTTCCATAACATGAACTTTGAGGAATAACTAATAACAATGAGGACATCATCTTGGAGTTAAAGAGGATTGAAAAAGAGCTGGATGTAAGATACAAGACAGAGCATGTACTGTTGCATCCTCCAAATTTCAGTGATCTTTTCTTCCTCTTCCTGATCTTTGGTTCAGGTTAGTGTAGAAGTTACCCAAACATCTCCTTTCCAAACAGTAAGAACTGCCTGGTAAGCCAGCCTGACTTCTGGTGGACTGTAGACACCAATCAGGTGTACAGGAATTACATCCTATGCCAGGGCTGGTTGTTTCCCCCCACCAAAAAAATTGCTAGAAAAACTATCACAGTCAAAATATAAACTGATTGTTAAGCTTTATTTAAAGTAAGGGTATTAAAACCAAGTGTACTTTAAAGATTAATTAGCTGTATATTTCAGAACCTTCTCACAATGCATTCAGGAAAACTTCTATTAAAATACAAGAGCTCTTAGGGTTTTTTCCATGACATTAATCAGGTACTATCCTTGGAGCTATAGTCTCTCATTGCAAGATTTCTGTTACTAATAACATCAAGTGAAGTTCTGCAGTTAAAAGACAAACCAGTTTTTTGAAAGATAATTTTTGGTAAGTATTTTTTTCACTGCTAGCAGGCAAGAGTTCTTTACAATTCCTCTTCTGAATATCTTTCTTAGCCTTGGAAAACCCTCATTACACCAGTGGGGGAAGGGTCTACTAAGGATAATGCTGTGTATGAGTGAAAAATAATGGAATAAATATTTTTTATATAGAACTGGCTATTAGTTTGAGGAATTACCTTCTTGAATACTGTATACCATCTGATGGATGAGGACATAGCTGGATTATACCACTAGAATTTGGAAGCAGAGCAGCACAGCTTATTTATGCATGCTGGAGCTGACTAGTAACTATGAAATATTTATAGCATTATCTATTATTGCTAATCATATTTTAGAGAATTTCACAAAGCATAAGAAGGTTCTCATTAAAATCAGCAAAACCAAAACTATGATATTGTTGAATGCTTTTCAGTTTCTTATTTTATAAGAGCTTATTTGTGTGTATTTCCACATACATATTCAGATATGTAAATATGCATATTTGACTACTACTGGGTAGTCTTCAGGTGCTGTAGAATGGCCAGGATGTTCATGATTTGTCTTCATAGGTTTTCCATCATGTTTGTTACTGTTACGACTTTTTCCTTCCTACTTGTGTCTTGTTCTTCCATTTAGCTATTTGTGCATTTGCATTATCCCTTCACTTAATAATCATGTTCTAATTATTCATGCCACTTAGGATGTCATTTGTTCTCCAGCTTCAATCAAGTGTCACCAGAATCGGCCTTTGTTCCTCTCCCAGCCCTAACCCTGTACTATTAAAGTACATAATTTAATAATGATAAAAGAAGTTCAAATTGACACTAATTTTTTTTTATATATTTTTTTTAGTTTAGTCTTATGGCCCTTTTTCTTCTCTGGCCTTTTCAAGGTTCATTCTTATAATAGTCTCAGTATATGAGGTGCTGCTTGTGAGCCATTACAGAAACC